TTAGGAAAGGGATAGAAAACAACAGTACCAATATCTTAATGACGTTGCAGAAAATCTATGGTGACACCGTGCTAGGGATGGAAAATAAAACTGCCAATATTGTCATGCCGTTGTACAAATCTATGATGGCATAATCAAGTCATGGTCTCGAAGACAGCAGGGCATTTATTGTTTGTTTGTACAGCGGTACCTCGGGTTAAGTACTTAATTCGTTCCTGAGGTCCATTCTTAACCTGAAACTGTTCTTAACCTGAAGCACCACTTTAGCTAATGGGGCCTATCGTTGCCACCGTGCCACCAGAGCACAGTTTCTGTTCTCATCCTGAAGCAAAGTTCTTAACCCAAGGTACTATTTCTGGGTTAGCGGAGTCTGTAACCTGAAGCGTATGTAACCTGAAGCGCATGTAACCCGAGGTACCACTGTATTTAAAATTTCTATCCTGCACTTCTTCCCAACTAAGCCCAGAGTGGCAAACAGTAGATTTTTTTTTAAAAAAAAGTAAAATCAACTTTAAAACATTGGAGGGAAATTGAGAACATCTAAAAGCAACCACACACCTTCACATTATTAATATCGCTTTTGCCATGACTCATATCTATTGGCCATCAAATGTCCAGGTAAAATGGAATGTTATTACATTTCTCCTGAATAAGAGAGATTTACCTCACAAGGAGTTCTTTCTGCACATGGATACCAAGTCCGAAAAGGCCCTTTCCCAGGTCAGCACTAACCATGCAGTATGAACTGTTAGCATGAAACATTTTAAAGAATTAACAATTAAAATAAATGAATAAACAATAGGGGGTTTGGAGCACTGATAAGGGAAATGGAAAATACAGTGGTACTTCAGGTTAAGAACTTAATTCGTTCCAGAGGTCTGTTCTTAACCTGAAACTGTTCTCAACCTGAAGCACCACTTTAGCTAATGGGGCTCCCGCTGCCGCCGCGCCGCCGCCATGCGATTTCTGTTCTCATCCTGAAGCAAAGTTCTTAACCCGAGGTAATATTTCTGGGTTAGCGGAGTCTGTAACCTGAAGCGTATGTAACCTGAAGCGTATGTAACCTGAGGTACCACTGTAATAATAATACAGTTGTGCTGGCGCGACAGAGGCAACAGGGATAGCTACAGGCACATGTGGTCGACCCGCCCAAAGGTGGCAACTGTGGGAGAAAATTCATTTCTGAGGGATCAATACAGAGGCTCAAACCAGATTATCAGACTTTTATTGAGTAATGCATTACAGGACAGAGTTCAAAAGAGTCTGTGAGAGCATTCCATCATCTTGGCTGTTTCATCCTCTAGCCAGCTATCTCCTGCCCTTTCTGCCACCCCAACACCTCACCATCACTTCACCCAAACATAGTCCTTTCAAACACTTATTCAACCCAAGCAGTCAGTTAGGCTCCCTCTAAACTGGCCCCCTCCCCACCCCCCGGTTTAGTGGTCAGGCTGCAATCTTAACATACACAAGCATAGCCTTAATGATCATGAGATTTGTCGAATTTCTGCGTCGTGACATTTTGGAACCAGATGATGAGTCAAATAGATCACATTTCCGACCCAAACTCTGGAGGTAGCGTTATTGAATTTTCATACAAATGAAAGCCAAGAGCTGGTGAACAAACATTTAACTGGAATTGTGTTGATGGGAGCATGTGTGGCTAAGGCCACGTTCTGGAAAGACCTCAAGGGGGCTCCTGTAGCACCCTCTTCCCAGAGAACGTGGCAAATAACCCTCGTGGAGAAATAAACACAAAACCTGAAACTACCCAGAGGAATAAAACACAAGGGGCATTCACTAGAGAATGGTGGAACTTCATTATGTTTGCAAACATACCAGAAGATGATTACACTACCCGTTTGTGGGATAGTGTAACAAACAACTATATTTATTTGCTTCTTGCTATAATACAACTTGCCTCTACTGCAAGTGAATAACTAGGTTTGCATGGTGCTGTCTCCAGGAAAAGACCCCTGAAAGAGTTGATTAGGTGTTAATAATTTCTGTTGCTCCAGTATAAGGGGCACCAGCTTCTGAAATGCTGGAAAATCACAATAAAGAACACAGGGGAGAGGGGGTGGACAATGAAAATATCCCTGAAAACAGTTTCTAATCCAATGCAGATACACAACAGGATAAACATCTCCAGGGATAAGACTTGTTGAGAAAAGGAGGACTTCAGCGGGTGCAGAAATGGCACCAGAGAGGGTATCTTTATGACACATGATGGAAGGAAGTTTCAAAAGGTAGCTGGCACCATTCCCACATCGTGCAGAGTGGATTCCAAGGTATCCTGGCCCCAGCTTCATAGGTCTTTGTTCACCTTGAGATGTAGACAAGTTCTAGGAAGGTCTCCAACAGCTCCTGTCCCTCTGTTTCTCAGATTTCTCTTGCCACATTATTTTTTGAGGAAACGGTATAAGAGGAAAGGGGCGAGAACAATAAGCTTGTTGGCCAGAATAAGCCCAATAAAAAGATTGAAGGACAGCAGAGAATGATCTGCAAGGGAAAAGACAGGAAATTAACCACCAAGAAAAGCTTTGGCCCAACAGCAAGGGGAGCCTCTGTCCAAAGACTCTGGCAAGGTAATATTCAGAGAATATACAGATCAACTTGTAAGAGTCCACATATAGAAATTCATAGCTGCCTTGCTCATTTCAAAGTTCAAAAATACCCCGCATGTCATTATTCCTATTAACAGTGCATTTTTTTTAAAAAAAACAAACCCTGTAATATTCAGAGAACTTACAAAATGTTAAAGGTAGTAAGAGCAATCTGCTCGTTCATAGGGTTGCTAGACGTCTGGGTTTTCCTGGTCATATCTGGGATTCATTCTTTTAAAATAGAGTGGGGGAGGAATTTCTGGAAAAATGTCTGGGAAAACTGGGACGTGTGGCAATACCATGTCAAAAGGGAAGATTTTTTGGGGGCGAATTTCCTTAAAAATAGCTGGAAAACTTACCTTTTTAAAAAAGCTCAACAACTTGTGCACTGTGATTGGAGAGTGTTGGTTAACTGGAAGCTCCTCCCTTCCTGGTGTCCTCCTTATATGGTGTTTTTCTGCAACACTTTGGAGGCTGGCTTTTTGTGAGCCTGAGGTTAGCCTGAACTGCTTTGAATTGATCCAGCTGCTTCAGACCAATCCAAAACTACCTTGAACCAGCAACCTTGGCATTATCAGCACCATGCTCTAACCAGGGGTCAGCAAACTTTTTCAGCAGGGGGCCACTGTCCCTCAGACCTTGTGGGGGCCCCCGACTATATTGGGGGGGGAATGAAAGAATTCCTATGCCCCATAAATAACCCAGAGATGCATTTTTTTAATTAAAGGTTTTCTTGATTTACAAAAGTATGTGCAATATCTCTCTCTTGTATTTTTTCCATGTAACATTTTTACAAATCAGTTTCATTTGTTGAGACATTAGGAAGAAAAGGGGGAAAGAGATGGAGGGGGTGTGGAAGATGGGTGTTGGTGGGGTCAGGTTGGGTGGCGATGTTTCTATTTTACTTAATATATGTAGGGTTTGGTGTCAGCATCGCTTGTGCAGGTTCTCTGCTGTTCACTTGTGTTCCTTTGGTGGGGAGAGAGGTTGGGGTTGGCCGAGGGTGTGGTTGTTCATTTGTGGTTGGCTGTGGTGATCTTTGTTTTCATGTGTGAGTGGGGTGGGTGGGTGTTTTAGATCAGGTTGGCCATATTGATTTGTATGCTGTTGGTGGATTTTTATTGTTGACTTGTTGGGCTGTGTGTGAAGAGATGCGTTTTAAATAAAAGCACACATTCTACTCATGTAAAAACATGCTGATTCCCGGACCATCCGTGGGCCGGATTGAGAAGGCGATCGGGCTGAATCCAGCCTCCGGGCCTCAGTTTGCCTATCCCTGCTCTAACCAGCTTGATCCAGGGTGACAATCAATAGTAAAAAAGACTCCTTCATCAGCCCCCACTGTGCAGAGAGAGATGCTCTTTGCCCCTCTCCCTCTTCCCTCAAATGCCCAAATAATTAACTGATCAATTAGGAAATCAGACCAGGCTGGGGGTGGAGTCAGATCCACCTATTCCCATGGAATAAAGACCCAGGTATGTTGCGCTGTAGGTTAAACCACAGAGCCTAGGGCTTGCCGATCAGAAGGTCGGCGGTTCGAATCCCTGAGACGGGGAGAGCTCCCGTTGCTCGGTCCCTGCTCCTGCCAACCTAGCAGTTCGAAAGCACGTCAAAGTGCAAGTAGATAAATAGGTACCGCTCCGGAGGGAAGGTAAATGGCGTTTCCGTGTGCTGCTCTGGTTCGCCAGAAGCGGCTTAGTCATGCTGGCCACATGACCCGGAAGCTGTACGCCAGCTCCCTCGGCCAATAAAGCGAGATGAGCGCTGCAACCCCAGAGTCGGTCACGACTGGACCTAATGGTCAGGGGTCCCTTTACCTTTACCTTTACCTTTATGTTGCAGGCATCCTGAAAGGAGGATTTCTAGGAAGGATAGCCTTAAGAGAGCTTGCTAGATGGGAAACAGGACCACCTGGCCCCTGGGACTCCCCCAGACCACACCTTTATCGGTCCCATTTTGCCCACTGCTTGTGTGTTTCTCCATGGCGGAAATGTGTCCTTGAGCTACAATTGTGCCTCTTACTGGCCTGGTATATTTCACATTTTTATTATTTTTATTATTACTTTATTTATTTGCATTTAAAAAGTTATTAGATTTATATACCGCCCGTCATCAAAAGATCTCAGGTTGGATCCCAAGTTCAAAATACAAGATAAAAGGACAAATACATAGTTAAACCAGGAATGACAAAATAATAACCCCCCCTCCAAAAAAAAAAAAATATCTAAAAGGGTTAGAATATTAATCAGAGGAACATTTTGTGGCTTCATCCACTGTTCTTTCTTTTTTAAGTCTGACCTTCACCAAAGACCTTTGCTCACAATATGGAATTTTTGTACTGAGGGGGCATTTTTTCCTCATTGGAGGCAAAGAGAATTTGAGCAGGGGACTTACCAATCACGGAAACCTCAGTGCCCACTCCCGATTTAAATTCTGTTTCTTGAGCTCCTGCCCTGTACTTGACACAGTAATAGGTCCCGGCATCCTCAGGTCGGATGTTGCTGATGCGGATGCTGAAGTCTGTTTCTGATCCAGCAACAACCCTGGTCACGCGGGAAGGATATTGTCCTCTTCCACTGTAAATGGTGGGCTGGTTTCTGCCCAAGCCCTTGTGCCATTTCACGCCTCCTGGTGGACCAGTTCCACTTACTGTACACGTCAGAGTGAGGGTCTCTCCTGCTGACACACACAAGGGTCCTGGGGCCTGGAGAACTTCCAAATCTTGGCCTTGGGCACCTGCAACAAAATGAATGGCTTGTATCCAACACTGTGTGCGAGTGAAACTGACTTCCACCCATGTAGCGGTGCTCCATTTTCTCCTCTTCTCCTTGCCGCCTGTCAGGGAACTGACATTGGAGCAGAGTGGAGAGGTTAGGCTCCCCGATGATGCCGGAGAGGGAACCAGTAAGGGAAGAGAGAGAGCTTCCGCTGGGGAAGGAAGTCCAGGTGACACCAGGAAGAAAGGAGAGGCTGAGAGCACTTCGGAGGGGAGGCTCCGAGACTCTTCCAGTGAGGTCAGTGAGGAGAGTGGAGGACCACCGCTTGGCACGCCCACTCTGCGCAGAAGACTTCCGCGCAGAGAGGCGAGGAGCCGGTTGTCCGTTAAGGAATTCTTATGCTGGAAGAAGTTTAGGAAACGCCCACTGACGGATTCTGCCAGCGACTGAAGCAGCCGCGCAAAAGGGCTGCTCAGCCAGGGAAAGGCGCAACCACCCCAAGCAGTTTGGAGTAGTTGGAGGTTTACACACAAGCAACCCCAATTCCCATGATACCGCCCCTGAGTGCCCTCAAAATCTGATCCAGGGGGTTAGAGCAGGATTTAAGGGTCCGCGAGGGGCTGCAGTGGAAGAAGAGGAAAGCGAAATCCCACTGCATGAGCAGACATCCTCTCACATTTGTTTGTTTGTTTTCCAATATACCCCCAATAACAGACAAATCAAAACAATAACAATTAATTCCCAAACTATACAATTATCAAAATGCCAATCAACTTCCAATTAATACATTTTAGTTAAAGTGGCCCCGTGCACGTTGGTTTGGGTGCATTTTTGATCTTATACCACTGCCTTCCATCATCTTAATTAATGTCAGTTACATTTCAGTTATAATAATAATCCCTTAGTCAACAGCTACATAATTAATGATTTCTATTCGTGATGTTGCAATATACAGGGAACTCAAACTATTATCGTTTTTCTGCCCTGCATGTGAAACTGTTAGGTCCATGGAGATACCTTCTGTCCATTTACAGTGTTAGTTGTTTTTGAACGGAGGTGAGGCAGGAATTAATCTGTCTTTCCAACACAGTCTTAAACTTCCCTTCCCGCTTCTTTCTTCATTTCAGATCATGCACAGTTTCCATTTTTGCCTGTCAATATCAATATTACTCCAACGCCCCTTCCTCACTTGTAAATATCTTTTTATCTTATATCTTATATTCTGGAGAGGGTTGCCGAATCATAAATATATAAAATAAGTAAATCACGGGCTTCCCTCTCTCCGGTCGACAATCACGCCGAAGAAAATCTTATCTCAGTTCAAACCTTTGATCCATGTAGCTGGTATATTCTGCAGTATGTTGTTGCAACCCTTTCCCATCATGCATTGATACTTTAAAGCCAATTGAAAGGCAAATTAAATGGAGAACCTCTGCTTCTTAATGGTGACGTAGGAGGGTTTTCGCCAGGCGAAGTGCTTTTGCACTCAATGCCTCTGGTATTCCATGCTGGAGCAGGAGCCAGGTACCAAGAAGAACTGTGAGTGAAGCAAATTCCCTGGGGGAGAATTTGCAAGGATGATTTATCCTCAGCTATCCTTGTTTTTTGTTTGCTGATGATTCCCCCACTATCGTGGGGGCTGCCTGCAGTAAGGCAGGTAGGACCGGAAGCCCACAATGATGCATTTAATCCAGGGAATGAAAATGGGGAAACAGAGGCAAGATGAAGGACAACACAGCCCTGCTCACCTCAGTTCTTCTCAAAAGCATTTCACTAGAGGTGCATGATTTATGCAATTATTTCATCTCCAAATACACATGGCACTCCTGTTTCAGATTAGCTGGTAAGAATAATTTTTTACTCCCCTTTTTCTGTTTTTTAAAATCTCTCTCATTTTAGCAGCTGTTACCAAGTACTGCCAAATACTACTTGCTACTGCATCCCTTCTTTCTCCCAAATAGTGTTCCTTATATTGAGGGAGGTGATTATTAATACTGCAAATATATTGATGTGAAATGTTCAGCAAATAATTGAATATTCAGATAAAAATCTGCATGAAACCTGTTCATAGAGGATAATTGATTTTGGGGGAGAATCGGGGGGGTAGGGAATGGTTTCAACTCTAATCACAGTCCTCTAGCATGGATATTTTGTTTGAAAAGCTGGAAGTCAGTGATAAAAAACAACAACAGAACAAAGACAAAGATATAAATTCTCCCCAATACTGCCTTGTGTTTTATTATTTGTTACATTTAAAGCAGTAATGGGGAACCTAGGGGGAACATTTGGAAATGGGGCATTCAAGCCAACTAAATGAGCTTTTCAGCCACAGTAGGAGATAAAAAATTCTGACTTGCAAAATGCAGGAAGTGTTGCAATTCTTCTTCGAAAAGAGGCAGAAGAGAGAATCAATGTCCTGTGAGCCCCCAAATTCTGATTTACATGGAAATGCAAATTCAATAATGCAAACTCTGGAGACTTTGTGGTAAGCAAAGTAACTTTACTTATGTCATTAAACACTGGTTTCCCCAAATTTGCCACCTTTGGCCATGTCCACCACAAGTGCCTTTAGCTGCCCCCTCTCTCCAGCACATAAATGTAGTATGTTTCAATAACATGTTGCAGAAACACCCTCCCACACACAATAAAAGAGTAGCCTGGAGGGCCCTTTAACAAGGAAGAAACAAATAGCACCTTGGATATGAGGAACACATTGCTGCAAACCAAGACAGAACCCAGTCAGAAGACCGAGTGGGTGGTCACGGGAAAGTCACCCTGCCTGAGATGGTGCTGTTCATCTGGGACAAGCCAGTTTCTAATGTCTCTAAGAGAATTTAAATCAAGCATATAATAAAGGACCATGGCTTTTGAAGGATGCAAGGTCTATTTATGCCGGCTCTCACATCGGGCTCAGCAGTGTTAGGAACCTGCAGGGGTGTCTGCTGTCGGCCCCCAGAGCAGCCTTGCCCCTGCGCGCTATATCCTTGCTTGGCCACTTGCCCTCTTGGACCAAGAAAGGAGGGGCAAGAGTCATTCCCTGTCCAACTTTCAGTGCTTTTTGAATATCCATACTGGGTTCTGTCAATAAGCATCACATGAGCATATATCAGCAATATCTGGAGGACCACGAGTTCCCCATCCCTGGAGGACAGGAGTCCAAAGGAAAGTTCATTTGCTAAGATTTAGGAGGAGGAACTAAAAGCTTTGCCCTTCCTTCTACAGAGCATCCCTTACTTTGCCCCACACTATTCTTTATTATTGATATCCTGCCTTTCACTCCCCTTCAGGAAGAAGAAGAAGAGTTTGGAAAGGAGATTGTTAGCCGCTTTGAGACTCCTGAAGGGGAGTGAAAGGCGGGATATCAAATCCAAACTCTTCTCTTCTTCTTCTTCTTCTCAAAGCGGCTAACATTCTCCTTTCCCTTCCTCCCCCACAACAAACACTCTGTGAGGTGAGTGGGGCTGAGAGACTTCAGAGAAGTGTGACTGGCCCAAGGTCACCCAGCAGCTGCAGGTGGAGGAGCGGAGACGCGAACCCGGTTCCCCAGATTACGAGACTACCGCTCTTAACCACTACACCACAGGTACTTTGGCCACCTCATGAGAAGAGAAGACTCCCTGGAGAAGACACTGATGCTGGGAAAGATGGAGGGCACAAGGAGAAGGGGGCGACAGAGGATGAGATGGTTGGATAGTGTTTTCGAGGTTACCAGCATGAGTTTGACCAAACTGTGGGAAGTAGTGGAGGACAGAGGTGCCTGGCGTGCTCTGGTCCATGGGGTCATGAAGAGTCGGACACGACTAAATGACTAAACAACAACAAAATTCTTTATTATTATTATTAAGTCACAAATGTGACCCAAAGCTACATAGAAACACTCTCTAATAGCTCAGATCAATTACGAGAAACACAACCATAAAAAATATCTACAAATACAAGGTGGGTCTTATAGATCCTGTTCCACTAAAAAAAAGTCTGCAAGTACTTGAAACCTTACAACTTCAAGGCCGAAAGCCCAGGTCACAAAGGAGAGCATTCCACAAATGGGGAGCCAGCACTAAAAAGGCCCATGCTGTCACAGACAATCCCGTGATGGAGGCAAACAGAGAAGGACCTTGGATGACCACTGCAGGTTCCCTATACTTTCTTGCTACACTGAGGCTCACCAACCTAGTGCCGTCCATAGCCAATTCCCATATATCTTGGGGGCACCAGAGTGGCAGATTCTGGAAAGCTATGGGTTATACTGGACTTTACTGTAGCTAAAAACCAGAGCAAGCCTGCAAGTTCAGTGTCTACCTTTAAACACTCACCCAGCATTTGCAGGAGAAGGAGCAGCAGAAATGAACGAGGAGGCCCAGAGAACGATCTTGAGGCAGTCATCAGGAGGGCAGAAAAGAACCCCTTCAGTGCTGTGTCTGGCATCATCTCCTTTCCCGTCAGATGTTGCCTCTGTAGAAGGAAGGGCAAAGCTGTTAGTTCCTCCTCCTCCTATTAAATCTTAGCAAATGAACTTTCCTTTGGACTCCTATCCTCCACAGATGGGGAACTTGTGGTCCTCCAGATATTACTGATATATGCACATGTGATGCTTATTGACAGAACCCAGTATAGATATTCAAATAGCACTGAAAGTTGGACAGGGAATGGAAGTTGCGACTCAGTGTGCTTTAGGTTGACACTGGGTTTCAGGACACTGACTGACCAAACCCAAAGAGGTCTCACTAATGGTTCCTCATCGTCCTGGAGAAAAGCGACAAGTGGGGTGTTGCGGGGTTCTGTCCTGGGCCCATTGTTGTCCAGTGTCTTTATAAATAACATGAATGAAGGAATTGGGGGGGATGCTTGTCAAATTTGCAGGTGACAGCAAACAGGGAGGGGTAGCTAATGCCGCAGAAGACAGAATCAAGATGGCCTGAAGCTTGGACCTTCATGGGGGCCCCTTGACAACCAGAAACAAGATCTGGGTAAAGTAAAGGTAAAGGTAAAGAACCCCTGACAGTTAAGTCCAGTTGCAGACGGCTCTGGGATTGTGGCGCTCATCTCACTTTACAGGCCGAGGGAGCCGGCATTTGTCTGCAGACAGTTTTTCCGGGTCATGTGGCCAGCATGATAAAGCCCCTTCTGGCGCAACGGAATATCGAAACCAGAGCAGTGCACAGAAACGCCGTTTACCTTCCTGCTGGAGCGGTACCTATTTATCTACTTGCACTGGGGTGCTTTTGCACTGCTAGGTTGGCAGGAGCTGGGGCCGAGCGATGGCAGCTCACCCCGTCACGGGGATTCGAACCGCTGACCTTCTGATCTGCAGCCCAAGAGGCTCAGTGGTTTAGATCACAGCTGATCAGAAGGTTGGCAGTTCGAATCCCCGCGACAGGGTGAGCTCCCGTCGCTCGGTCCCTGCTCCTGCCAACCTAGCAGTGCGAAAGCACACCAGTGCAAGTAGATAAATAGGTACCGCTCCAGCAGGAAGGTAAATGGCGTTTCCGTGTGCTGCTCTGGTTCACCAGAAGCAGCTTAGTCATGCTGGCCACATGACCCGGAAAAACTGTCTGAGGACAAACACCATCTCCCTTGGCCTGTAAAACGAGATGAGCACCGCAACCCCAGAAAGGTCTGAGTAACCACTGTTATTTTCTTCAATGGGGTATTTTTGTGAACTCAGTGTTATTCTTCTAGGGTCTTGTTAAAAAGGGTCCTGTTAAAAAGGGGGTGGGATTACACTGGTCACAGCAGAGCAGCCAACTTAACATGACTCACCTCATTTATAACATATGTGCTAGTGACTCTCAAACTTTGGGATTGTAGAAATATATTAAACCGCTCCCCCCCCCCCGGAAAAAAAAAAAGGAGCCCTGAAGCCAAAGCTTCATTAGTTTCAATCTTCCAGCAGATTTCAGTGGGGAAACTCAATTAAATGATCCCCAAATCAAAACAGTTTCTGAATATTGTCCCAGTGCCTCCTATGTCCTTTGTCTACCATGGAAAACCAACCCTTTGTCTACATTAATCGCAGTGCGCTGTCCGTGAGCTGGCTGCTCCCCACCACTGCCATGTGACTGTAGCACAGCAAACAGTGATTGAACCACATTCTGAATCCAGCGAGACTCGGTTTCCTGCTGCCACTTCCTGTTTGCGCTTTGTGGGCTGAACCCAGAGGCCGCAAGGCAGTGGAATTGCCCAAAGTGGAGCCGGGTGATCTGTCAGCAGCAGCCTCTTCCATGCCACATTCGAGTGGCCGGCACTGAAGGTGCCCTTTCTCCTTTCAAAGCAACCAGTGTCTCAGATGGCTTTCAAAGGCCCCCTTGGGTGCCTGTTTCTCAGTGCGCTGATGAGCCAGTTTTCAAAAGGAATGGAAGGTGAGTACACGGCCACAGTGTGAACTTCATAGGAAAGTTATACTGAAGAAGTGAGACCAGCAACGCTGTTCCTCATCTGAGTTACAGCCAGCCAGACATGCCCTTTAGTGAGAAACTCCATTCCATTCCTTTCCCCCTGGTTTTCAGACAGCTTGCTGTGACCACTGAGGCTGCTCCATCCTAATAGGGCTGCTTTTTTTTGGGGGGGGTGTTACTTTCTTAGTGTGGTGTAGTGGTTAGAGTGTCAGACTAGGACCTGGGAGACCAGGGGTTGAATCCTTGTTCCTTGGAGGTTTTTAAGCAGAGATTGGGTGGTCATTGGTCAGGGATGCTTTAGCTGAGATTTCTGCATTGAAGGGGGGTTGGACTAGATGACCCTTGAAGGTCCCTTCCAACTCTCGAATTCTGATTGCATGATCAAAAACCATTCTACCTTTCTTTCAAATCAGAACCAGTGAAGGTCCTGTGTGAGTGCCTGGAGGCGGTTGGAGGATGGATGGCGGTTAACAGATTGAGGTTGAATCCTGACAAGACAGAAGTACTGTTCTTGGGGGTCAGGAGGCGGGCAGGTGTGGAGGACTCCCTGGTCCTGAATGGGGTAACTGTGCCCCTGAAGGACCAGGTGCGCAGCCTGGGAGTCATTCTGGACTCACAGCTGTCCATGGAGGCGCAGGTCAATTCTGTGTCCAGGGCAGCTGTTTATCAGCTCCATCTGGTACCCAGGCCGAGACCCTACCTGCCCGCGGACTGTCTTGCCAGAGTGGTGCATGCTCTGGTTATCTCCCGCTTGGACTACTGCAATGCATTCTATGTGGGGCTACCTTTGAAGGTGGCCCGGAAACTACAACTAATCCAGAATGTGGCAGCTAGACTGGTGACTGGGAGCGGCCGCCGAGACCACATAACACCAGGCTTGAAAGACCTACACTGGCTCCCAGTACGTTTCCGAGCACAATTCAAAGTATTGGTGCTGACCTTTAAAGCCCTAAATGGCCTCGGTCCAGTATACCTGAAGGAGCGTATCCACCCCCATCGTTCAGCCTGGACACTGAGGTCCAGCTCCGAGGGCCTTCTGGCCAGACACTCGCTGCGAGAAGCCAAGTTACAGGGAACCAGGCAGAGGGCCTTCTCAGTAGTGGCACCCACCCTGTGGAACGCTCTCCCATCAGATGTCAAAGAAAAAAACAACTACCAGACTTTTAGAAGACATCTGAAAGCAGCCCTGTTTAGGGAAGCTATTAATGTTTAATAGGTTATTGTATTTTAGTGTTCTGTTGGAAGCCGCACAGAGTGGCTGGGGGAAGCCAGCCAGATGGGCAGGGTAAGGTAAAGGTAAAGGTAAAGGTACCCCTGCCCGTACGGGCCAGTCTTGCCAGACTCTAGGGTTGTGCGCTCATCTCACTCTATAGGCTGGGAGCCAGCGCTGTCCGCAGACAATTCCGGGTCACGTGGCCAGCGTGACAAGCTGCATCTGGCGAGCCAGCGCAGCACACGGAACGCCGTTTACCTTCCCAGTGGTAAGCGGTCCCTATTTATCTACTTGCACCCGGGGGTGCTTTCGAACTGCTAGGTTGGCAGGCGCTGGGACCGAACAACGGGAGCGCACCCCGCCGCGGGGATTCAAACCGCCGATCATGCGATCGGCAAGTCCTAGGCGCTGAGGTTTTACCCACAGCGCCACCCGCGTCCCTGATGGGCAGGGTATAAATAATAAATTATTATTATTATTATTATTATTATTATTATTATTATTATTATTATTATTCTCCCATTCAGTCCAATCTCCTTTAGCCCTTCCTGCTTGTTTAGTTTAATATATTAACATCAATGGACTGAGCAATTCCCATTATTTAAATAACCATAACTTCTTAACCCTCTATTACATTTTGCAGAGCATTTTAGTGGCATCTTCTAATAATAATAGTAGTACAGGTGATATCAAACATAAGTCACACTCTGAGTAGACGCACTGATGTCACCTGACTTCAATAACTTGAGCCTATACTGAATACAGTGGGTCTGCTCCATGTCTTAGTTGAATCTCTCTCTTACATTTCTGTGAATGATTCCTTAAGAGTCTCAATCACTGCAAATCCTCCTATGTTATGCTTTAAATCTATTCGTTGTTGTTATTGTTTATGGCTTAAGTACCTGAAAGAATGCTGGAGTGCTTGCGGAAGATAAGTGTGCAGCAGGATAATGGGTAGATAAAAGAAGCAATTATTTTCTCTCAGAGAGGAACTACGGTAATTTCGGTGGCGATTCCGGCAGGATTAAGAGCTGAAGTCCTAAACTCCACATTAGGAAGACGCAAAGGCCTCTCCATTTGTCTTTTGCCTCTTGATTAGCAGCTCGAGATAAGAGGACTCCAGAAAGCTGCCTTAGATCATCTGGTCTTAGGTCCTCTAGTCTATCTAGCCCAGTAATGTCTACACTGACTGTCAGCTGCTCTCCAGAGGAAGAACATGTGAAGAGTCTGCTGGACCAGGTTTGTGGTCCATCTGGTCCAGTATTCAGTGATGAGAGAGCTATTGATGGCTTATTACCTTTAAAGCCCTAAACAGCCTCGGTCCAGTATACCTGAAGGAGCGTCTCCACCTCCATCGTTCTGCCCGGACACTGAGGTCCAGCGCCGAGGGCCTTCTGGCGGTTCCCTCATTGCGAGAAACCAAGTTACAGGGAACCAGGCAGAGGGCCTTCTCAGTAGTGGCACCCGCCCTGTGGAACGCCCTCCCCTCAGATGTCAAAGAAAAAAACAACTACCAGACTTTTAGAAGACATCTGAAGGCAGCCCTGTTTAGGGAAGCTTTTAATGTTTAATAGGTTATTGTATTTTAGTGTTCTGTTGGAAGCCGCCCAGTTGGAAACCCAGCCAGATGGGCAGGGTATAAATAATAAATTATTATTATTATTATTATTATTATTATTATTATTATTATTATTATTATTACCCTGATGCTCCAGCAGTCTCTTCTTATCCTGACAACGACCAACCAGATACTCCTGGGAAAGTTAGAGGAGACCCCTAAGCCATGTCTTCCCTGGGACTTGGATTGCCAAATTCTTATTGACCCCTACAACCTGACAGACAGAAATTTAACAGGTGAAGCTCTTTCAAGCCATGGAGATAAGTGGTGGAAAACACTTATCACCTGATTGTTGTTGTTGATGATGATGTTGATATAATTTACCATATTTTTCCATGTATTAGACAAGGATTTTTGACTCAAAAATTGTGTGAAAAAACGGGGGTCGTCCAATACATGGATAGTGGCATGGGGGGGGGGGAGAAGCGGCATGCCCACTAGCCAGCCGGTTGGCAGGAGTGCAACTTCCTCTGATGCGCGTGGGAAACGATCTAGGGAGTGTTTCCTGCCCGCAGCTGCGTGGAGGGAGAAGCTCAACAACTTTGGGCCATCTCCCCTCATTTTCTTAAAATCAAGTCCCCCAAAATAGGGGGGGTCTTATACATGAGGGGGACGCGGGTGGTACCGTGGGTTAAACCACAGAGCCTAGGACTTGCCGATCAGAAGGTTGGCGGTTCGAATCCCCACAACGGAGTGAGCTCCCGTAGCTCGGTCCCTGCTCCTGTCAACCTAGCAGTTTGAAAGCACGTAAAAGTGCAGGTAGATAAATAGGTACCTCTCCAGTGGGAAGGTAAACGGTGTTTCCGTGCGCTGCTCTGGTTCGCCAGAAGCGGCTTAGTCATGCTGGCCACATGGCCTGGAAGCTGTATGCCGGCTCCCTTGGCCAGTAAAGCGAGATGAGCACCGCAACCCCAGAGTCGGCCACGACTGGATCTAATGGTCAGGGGTCCCTTTACCTTTATACACGAGGGCGTCTTATAGATGGAAAAATACGGTATATGCCACCCACCTGACTGGGTTGCTCCGGCCACTCTGGGCGGCTCCCAACAAAATATTAATAGTACAAGGCACTGGAAAAAGTTTTTAAAAGGAAGAATGTGGATTGGGGGTCCATGTTTGTCGAGAACTTACTATTAGATGAACCCTACAGGTTTATGGCTGCCAGCTGAATGTGTGACCTCCTGGCTCCATTGAAAAACACCACTCAGATGATTTGTGGCGGTGCCTCAGTTGTGTCTGTGTGGGCTTGACCTCTGATGGCTCGTCCACAGATGAAAGCGACCACTTGACATGGCACAGTCATCAGAGATGACCGTTCTATGTGCAGAAACAGGCCGCTGAGACTGAGTTTCTGAAATAGACGCCCACACGGTTTGTGCTGGGCTTTTCTCTCTTACGTATGTTTCCCTAAGATGTTCTATATCCTCACTAACCACTTGATACAGCTGGAATGGACAACCTGTGGCCCTCCAGATGTTGCTGAACCCCAGCTCCCCTCAGCTCTGGCCATTGGCATTGTAAACGGAGAAATCTGAGGGCTTCCTTGGACAAAAAAACAAGGATACCAGCCAGGAATACCAGAGCAAAACAGCAGCCGGTAGGCTTGGTCTTTATTGAAGACTGTTGGGACAGGACTCCCACCTGCCACAAGGTGGAACAAGATGGAAGCCCCAAACAAAGAGAACCCAAACTTTTATTAGCTGCTAATCCCCATGGGACACGGGTGGCGCTGTGGGTAAAAGCCTCAGCGCCTAGGGCTTGCTGATCGAAAGTTCGGCGGTTCGAACCCCGCGGCGGGGTGCGCTCCCATTGCTCGGTCCCAGCGCCTGCCAACCTAGCAGTTCGAAAGCACCCCCAGGTGCAAGTAGATAAATAGGGACCGCTTACTGGCGGGAAGGTAAACGGCGTTTCCGTGTGCTGCACTGGCTCGCCAGATGCAGCTTGTCACGCTGGCCACGTGACCCGGAAGTGTCTCTGGACAGCGCTGGCCCCTGGCCTCTTAAGTGAGATGGGCGCACAACCCCAGAGTCTGTCAAGACTGGCCCGTACGGGCAGGGGTACCTTTACCTTTACCTAATCCCCATGTTACACCCCCCCAAACTACATCACTAACACATCATGGTTACATCATGAAAGGGGAGGTCTGGTGGCAGTAATCTGAGCATCCTGGACCCTGCCCCATGGTTCTCCTTGCACTCCACCAAACACCCATCAAGTGTAACAAAAAAGATATTTACATTTATCTGTTTCCCAGCCAAGTTAATCACACCCTTTTGTCTTCATCTGGGTTTGTTATTTCTGGAATGGCTACCTGTCTAGCACTCAGGTATCAGGATGCCAGGGATTATCACTCAGGCAGAGGGGCTGCTGAGCAGCTGAGCTCACATGTCTATATGAATTTCTGAAGTTTTCCCAGTGAGCCAGTACATAGATACATTGATCAAGGAATTCTTACATTTGGTATCGTCCAGCAAAGGCCCTTTGAATAGATAGGAAAAAAGTGTGATGAAGTGTTTTACGGGGACAAATCACAAAAGTCACAAAAGTGATTGTGCTGGTTTTGGTAGTGGGCTGCGTGTGCAGGATATCTGCTGGAGGGGCAACTCCCCCCAACCTATACATAAATTCCTGCAACAGCATTGCTGGCTAAGGCTAGTGGAAGTTATAGTCAGGGCTTTTTTCCAGCAGGAACTTGCCAGAACTCATTTCCAACACCTGTCAGGTGGGCGCCTTTACCATTACAGTGGTACCTCAGGTTACATACGCTTCAGGTTACATACGCTTCAGGTTACAGACTCCGCTAACCCAGAAATAATGCTTCAGGATGAGAACAGAAATCGTGCTCTGGCGGCGTGGCGGCAGCGGGAGGCCCCATTAGCTAAAGTGGTGCTTCAGGTTAAGAAGTTTCAGGTTAAGAACGGACCTCCGGAACGAATTAAGTACTTAACCAGAGGTACCACCGTATAAGAGAACAAAGGACGCACTCACAGTGAGTTCCAGCACCTCTTTTTCTAGAAAAATAGCACTGGATATAGTTCATCAACATCTGGAGGGCCAAAGATTCCTCACTCTTGTGCTACAGGCAAAGAAATTTGCACGCCTGATGCAGCATGACTCTGACGAAGGCCGAGTTCCTTATTTCACCCACAAACTCAGACATGTGCGACTCCAAAAGAGGAAGCATCAACACATCAGCTGCCGTCGTTTTCATTGGAAGCTGCTTTGCCCAAGCAGAAAGGTTAAATGCAAGAAGGAAAGAACAGATGTAAGGGAGCTGCTCCCTGCTAGCCTGGATTACGGGTCTTCAAAGGATTGGGGAATCTATAGTCTATTTTTAAAAGAAAACAATTAAATCGTATTGTAGCTTCCTAGTTTTTATAGCGGGTTCTTCTACCACATCCGCAGGTCTGCAGACTTTGGTTTGCATTAAGCAGGTGGCCGGATTGCTAGCGATGGTGCTAAATTTACCGTATTTTTCGCACTATAAGACGCACCAGACCATAAATCGCACCTTGTTTTTGGAGGAAAACGAGAGAGAAAATATTTTGAATCAAATGTTGTTGAAGAGGCTCTGTGTTGCTATCCCTGAAGTCAGAACAGCAAGAGGGATTGCTGTGCAGAAATCCCTCTTGCTGTTCTGGCTTCAGCGATAGCTGCGCAGCCTGCATTCGCTCCATAAGACGCACATACATTTCCTCTTACTTTTTAGGAGGGGAAAGTGCGTCTTATAGAGCGAAATATATAGTAATTCTAGTAGCCAGCAGGGAAAGGCCCTTCTGAGGCCCTCCTTCGTGTGCTTCCTCCTCGAGAGGTGCTGAGGGTGGCAACACGAGAACGGGGCCTTCTCTGCAGTGGCTCCCCATCTGTGTAATGCTCTCCCCAGAGAAGTTCACCTGGTGCCTTCATTATACACCTTTCGGTGCCAGGCAAAAACATTCCTTTTTAACTGTGCCTTTGGTTGATCTGATTGTATACCCTTTTAAAATATGGCTCTTTTGGGGGGGCATTTGTAGGTCAAGGCACTTCTTATTCCAGGTTCTCAGACCACCAGCACCAAGGGGGGAAATGCAGTGCCTGAATTTCACGTTGTCCAGCCTTTTCCTTCCTTCGTTATTTTCAACGTGGGCTCATTCCAGGGAATGTCCATCACAGAGCACCAGTGGTTGTTGACCACAGCTGAAGAACAATTGCTCTCACAAAATCAAAAGTGTCAAAAAGGTTGTCTGGAGGATGAGCTGTCACAACAGACTGCCGTGTGTCTTTCCTTTCAGGTGTTGCGAAGGAGCCGCAGTTACAGGTGTACCAGCCAAAGAATGCTATCTCAGTACGAATAGGAGATAATCTCACACTGGAATGCCGGGTGACTGGGGAAGGTCCACCAGGACCTGTGAGGTGGTTCCTGGGAGAAGGTCCCACAAAGAAGCTTATCTATGCAGGTGTTAGAAGTTTTGAGAGAGTAACAATAAATAATGAACAATCCAATGAAGATTTCACCATTGTCATCCATAATGTTACCCGGGAGGATGCTGGTATTTATTACTGTGGAAAGATAAAATATGGAAAAGAAGACTTCATGCTACATGGGGGTGGAACTGAGGTGGTTGTGACAGGTGAGTGGTGGAAAACTAATGGAATTTCTTTTTTAAAAATTTCAAGTCCTAGTTGGTTTCATTGGCTAAAGCCTCTATAATAACTGTTCTGGTATTTCCCCCTTATTCCCTCATAAAAGACATGACACGACACAGTCTTCTATAAAAGTATAAAAAGGTTTACTCACATATCATTCTGTTCACCATGGGATCCCAGAAGGCAGACTTAGCTTAGAAAAGTAACATATACCTAGAAACTATCTCATAAGAAGACAGTCCCTTTGTCCTCAAAGAGCATCTTTGGCTAAGCAGATGTTGCTTCTTCGATGCATGCAGTCAAAAGAGAGAGAGGTGGCTGCCCTGCCCTGTGCTTTTGTCGTTACCTGCACAGGTGAGGCCACGCCCACCTCTAGTCACATGCAGAGGAAGTCTGTCCCAGCCCAGAAGGAAACAGGAAGTTTACCTGCTGGCTGGACAAACATTCCTCCTCATGTGTAAACATGTTCACTCTAGGAATATTTTACTTGACTGCTCTTGTGTTTCACATCCCACACAAGGAAGTTCGGTTTTCAATGTCAATTATTTCTGGTCCTAACTTTCTGTCTTACACCACCACGTTCATCTAGATTCACCACCTTCCAACACCGCCCCAGTGGTTGCCGGGGTGAGCGTCCTTCTCCTCGCTGTCTTGCTTCTCGTGGCAGTTTACATCTACGTAAAGAAGAGAAAAGGTGAGTTTGGCACCTATGTATGGAAGCAACTGACCCCTCCTCTCCCCTGAGTCAGCAGAGCAGAATAAATCATTTCCATATAGCCCTATATTTCTACCCCACCCCAAATTTCTGAAAAATGTGCTGCCCAAATGTCGGACTGGTCACTTCTGCTCAGACTAGCCTACCTTGCGGGATCAGGCTAGGGCCCCATCCGCACGATACATTTGAAGCAGTGTCATACCACTTTAAACAACCAGGGTCCCCCTGCAAAAGAATTCTGGGAACTGTGGTTTCTTATGGGTGCTGAGAGTTGTTTGGCGGCTCCTAGTCCCCTCGCAGGGGTGGCCCAGCCCGTTTTATGGCAAATTCAGTGATTGCCCCGGGCAGCAAAAACCTTAGCTATACCACTGACTGTAAGTACAGTCATACCTCGGGTTGAAGTAGCTTCGGGATAAGTATTTTTGGGTTGCGCGCTGTAGTGACCCAGAAGTAACGGAGCGCTTTACTTCTGGGTTTTGCCGCTCACGCATGCGCAGATGGTAAAAATGACATCATGCGCATCTTCAGAAGCGGCAAATCGCAACCCGTGCACACGCAGATGCGCGGGCGCAGGTTGCGTTCGCTTCTGAATTCCAACGGGGCTCTGGAACGGATCCCGTTCGCATCCAGAGGTACCACTGTATCTTATTTTTCCTTCTTTTAATAATTTCAATGTAGCGGGTGGGGGGGAGTGACAATAAATTTTCTGCCCCGGGTACCACCTGACCTTGCTACGCCACTGGTTTCACTGCCTGAAGCAAAGTGGGAAGGTGCCACGGCTCCTCTCTACCGAAACTGGCAAGGTTGCGAGAGTTCCATGAGATCTTGACGGAAGCCGTTGTGTGACCTTTTCGGGTGGCACCCCATGGGATTTTGCAGCCCAAGGCATCTGCTTCAGTTTGCCTCATGTATAGTCAATTCGAAACTGATTTTCTGGATTTTTTCTCTCCTCTGCATTAAATCCATTCACATCCAAGATCCGCTGGTGAATCTGGTAAAAGCACAATTGTCAAAACAAATGCGGATCTTGCATGTGAATGGATTTAACGCAAAGGAGGGGAAAAAAATGAAAATTCAGGATATTAAAAACAATATTAAAGAAGCTATAGAGACAAGAGTGACAGCAATGGGAAACCTCCCACCTCCAGTTGAACTAGCCAATCCAAAGAATCAGTTTCAGTTTGCCTCATGGGCAGGCTGGCGCTGATTCTCAGATTGTTTTAACAAACTACAATTCCCAGGATTCCTTGGGAGAAACCATGTCCATTTGAAGGGCTATGACACTGCTTTCAATGTATAGTGCAGATGTTGTTGGCATGTGATGTGCTCATGTGCTTAAATGTGCTTGACTGAGGCATACAGCGTGGTTTTATGCTGGCGTTTGTTTTTTGGTGTTTGCTCTGAATTAAAAACGAAACACCAGCCTGCTTAGCCAGGTTGCTTTTATTCTGAAGAGAAGGGGAAATGTCACCATGTGGCCCTGATCCAGAACTTGCCCCAGATCTGGGTTGTGGCCTAACTCTGAAAATTGCTCCCCTCCATGGCTGCTTTTTGCTAAGAACCTCTTTGGGGATTGTCGAGGAGAAAGGAAGGGATCGTTTTCAGCAGGAAACTGGTTCAGAGACCAGAGACCACAACTGCTTTTTCTGAAGAATTAGAAGCAGCCCAACAGAGAGTGCTTATTTTAAAGACACAACTGGCACCACGTGCAGTTTGTGTTGGGATGCTGTCAGGGAGGCGGGGGCAATTGACAGGCCCCCAGCTGGCTCCAGCCCACCGGCCGGTAGCCGGACAATCTCTGGTTCTCAGAACAGCATCAAAACTGCAACTCAAGCCTCAGAAACCTTTAGAGACTTAAGCACGCAAGCCAGCAGAGATAAGAACTCTTTGCAACAGAAGAGGTGGACAGAGACATGTGTAAGCATATTTACAGCATTTATTCAGCAGCAGGACATAGGAAAAACATGTCTGCTTCCCTTCGTGTCCAATCAAAACAGCATTATAGCAAAAGCAATATACAACGGAAGTTCCCAGCAGACTGTGCTGGAAGTAAACAGACATGTGACATTCAACAACTCAACATATCTGTTCCTCTTAAGGTGTAATGGAACATCAATATCCTAACATCCTTCCCCTTTCCGTGTAGCCTGTAGTACCTGTGGTTAGCATTTAATGTTTGAAAGCCAATTTACTGTCTCTTCTCTTCTCCCTCGTATGTATCTAGGCAGAAACCAAGATACGTCAAGGTCTGTATATATTTTTTTAAAATACAATTTCATTAACTTTTCCTAGTGTTTGGGGAGATGAGTATTTAAGTCACAGCAATTTGGTCAATGGTGGCAGAAGTGTGTCCGTCTGTCTGTAAGTACAGAAGTGTGGACTGATTGAGAGAGATTCACAGATGTAGCTCCCCAGATATACATGCCAAGATCCATTGGTGGCAAGGTTCCGCAATAAGCAGCTTCTAAAATTACAGATTGGATGGGTAAACATGTTGTTATGAGTTTGTGGGTGTCATGGGGTTTTTTTTTGAGGGGGAGGGGGAGTAGGCTGTATGCAAGACCGTTCTAATTCCTGGATCCAGCACGGATTCAATTGCTGGAATAGCCAGGCCAACCTGTGTGATGAGCCATTAAGAGAACAAAAGGAAAAGCAATGGGCCAATAAGAGAACAAAGGAAAGGGGGCTCTGTGCCAGAAGACAAATGGGTGGGGCCCCTCCACCAGGAGTTTGAGAACACAGTTTGCTGTTATGTTATGTGTCAGAGACCAATGGCTGATTTCTGTTTGAAGCCAAGTCTGCAGTTATGGGGAAAGCAATACCCTTTTGGGGTGTTGATGCTGTGAAACCCTCCACTGCAAGCCCAGGTTATACAGGTGAAACTCAAAAAATTAGAACATCGTGGAAAAGTTCCTTTATTTCACAAATTCAACTTCCAAGGTGAAACTCATATATGAGATAGACTCATGACATGCAAAGCAAGATATGTCGAGCCTTGATTTGTGATCATTGTGATGATCATGGCGTACAGCTGATGAAAACCCCAAATTAACAATCTCAGAAAATTAGAATATTCACGGAAATCAGCAAAACAAGGATTGCAAATCGAGCAAGATTGCACCTCTGAGAAGTAGAAACATATCTCGCTTTGCATGTCATGAGTCGATCTCATATATTAGTTTCACCTTTTAAGTAGAATTACTGAAATAAATGAACTTTTCCACAATATTCTAATTTTTTGAGTTTCACCTGTATATACAGTGGAACTTTGGTTTTCGAGTGTCTTGAAAGCTGAATGTTTCAGAACCTGAATGCCTTAAAACCTGGAAGTGAATGCTTCTGTTTTCAAATGCGCCTTGGAAGTCAAATAGTAGTAGTAGTAGTAGTAAGAAGAAGAAGAAGAAGAAGAAGAAGAAGAAGAAGAAGAAGAAGAAGAAGAAGAAGAAGAAGAAGAAGAAGAAGAATTTATTTGTACCCCGCCCATCTGGATGGGTTTCCCCAGCCACTCTGGGCGGCTTCCAACAAAGATTAAAAATACATTAAAAGGTCACACATTAAAAACTTCCCTAAACAGGGCTGCCTTCAGATGTCTTCTAAAAGTCTGGTATTGTTTTTCTCTTTGAGGGTGTTCCACAGGGCGGGCGCCACCACCGAGAAGGCCCTCTGCCTGGTTCCCTGTAACTTGGCTTCTTGCAGTGAGGGAACCACCAGAAGTCCCTCGGCGATGGACCTCAGTGTCCGGGCAGAATGATGGGGGTGGAGATGCTCCTTCAGGTATCCTGGCATCCGCTGTGTGTTTTTCCATTTTCTCGATGGAAATTGCCAACGGCCCTTTGTGCCTCGGTTTTCGGATGTTTTGGAAGTTGAATGGTCTTCTGGAACGGATCATGTTCGAAAACCGAGGTTCCACTGTATATGTAAATAAACAATATATCATTAAGATTCCACAGTCTCCGCTGGGCCTCATTCTGCGGAGCAACTGGAATCATGCACCACTGAGAGATTGGGATGGCAGGCAACAAATCCAAATTTTAAGAGCACTCTCTCTCTCTTTCTCTCCCGTGCACACACATTTTTCCAATTAGCCCCAAACTAGACACTTTAAAAGGTTCGAAAGTGCTTTGAAAAATGCAAATGCCTTGAGGCTTAATAAATCTTAGCCCAAGTGCCTATTAAGAGGCAGCAATGGAGAAATCAAATAGAGTCATGTCCACTACGTTAATAATGGATAAAATGCAGCTCATTTGCCTCCATTATTTTCATTGCGTAAAACTCCAGGCTATAATTCTAGTGGGCTGTTTAATGTGTTTGAGGTTTATTTAAAGATCAACTCTGACACGGGCTTCACTAAGTGAAAGACAGCAGTTCCTACCCTGTTGGGGTTTTTTTGTTTTTTGTTTTGCTATACTCATTTCACAGAATCCCACGTGGATCTTGTACGCAGATATAGAGGTTGAGTTCCAGAATTTAGGAAGCAAATTCTCCCTGTCCTCCTAGAGGTGGAGATATATTGCAATAGAGGGTCCTCAAAGGACTCTGACATTTCGGACAGGCGTGGCAAATCACCAGTGCCCATTTTTCCTCCACGTGGCATTTCCCCCCCCCTGGTGGCAGCAGCAGGATCTGTGGCAGACAACATTGCAGCGGTGGGCTGGGTGGAGGGGATGGCAGAGGGCAGTTGCTCCTGTCAGGAGTTCAGCCTAGACTCAAGTAGGACCCTGGCAGAGACACATGCCCCACTGGCATGTTCTCTCCCTCCTGGTCGATCGTTCGGGAGCTTCATAAGCTTTCTTCAGCCCGAACATCACAGCGACCGGTGCCAACCGACACCGGCACACTTAGGGATCCGCAGAGTTTGTGCATCATGCGTAACAGACATCAGCATCTCAGCGTTTTGGCTAATCTACTTTATGTACATATAAACATACACGGAGCACTGCAATTCTCTAACCCAGTGTTTCCCAAACTTTTTTGGGCAACGGCACACCTGTTTACTGAAAAAAAATCTCGCGGCACACCACCATTAAAGCCCCGCCCCGTGACGTCAGCGCGCAGCGTCACGCCGGGAGGGACGCACGAAAGTGAAAGTTTTTTCCCTCCCCCTTTGCCGGGGAACCTCCAAGCTTTGGGGGTGGGAGGAGGCAGCAGAGCGAGGGACTGAGGGACGGCGGCAACTGAGGCGGCGGCGGCTGTGGTGGTGGTGGCGGCGATAGCGGGCGGAGGAGGGGCGGCGGCGGGGCTTGAGGAGCCGTCGCGGGAGTTGCTGCTGCTGTTGTTGCTGCTGCTGCCCGGACATGCTGGCCTCCTCCTCCTCCGCTGTCTCGCGCTCCTCCCTTTTGCACGCGCTGCCCCGCCGCTCGGCACCACCACCGCGGAGCCGCCCCCGGCTCGACGCGGATCCTCGCCGCCGCCGCCTCTCACCGCCCGACTCGCCCGCCTCCTTCCCACGGCACACCAGCCAATGTCTCACGGCACAGTAGTGTGCCGCGGAACACCGGTTGGGAAACACTGCTCTAACCCTCTCTCTCTAGCATCAGACAGCAAAGAGAAAAGAACAGTGGTACCTCGGGTTAAGTATTTAATTCGTTCCGGAGGTCCGTTCTTAACCTGAAACTGTTCTTAATCTGAAGCACCACTTTAGCTAATGGGGCCTCCTGCTGCCGCCGCACCGCCAGAGCATGATTTCTGTTCTCATCCTAAAGCAAAGTTCTTAACCTGAAGCACTATTTCTGGGTTAGCGGAGTCTGTAACCTGAAGCGTATGTAACCTGAAGTGTATGTAACCCGAGGTACCACTGTAGTCCCACTTCACGGGACACAGGAACACAAACATCCTGTCTCCATCACTTCCCACTCTGTGGAGTCAAAACATACACCGTCATGTGAAAGACAGAGCAGAGATGGTGCTGTTAGAATTCCTGCTCTGCAGATATGCCCAAGTGGGCTAAGTGCAGAGGTTCAAAGGATGGGGAGGAAAACACCTGCTGCTATGCCACACCTGAATATAAGAAGAGCCTCGCTGCTACGTCAGGTCCGTGGCCCATCTGGTCCAGAATCCTGTTCTCACAGTGGCCAGCCAACAGGAAAACCAGCCATCAGGACCTGAGGCCTTGCCTCTCCTGTGGTTTCCAGCGATGGCTTTTCGGATACATGCTGCATCTGATAGTGAAGGGCTAGCATGGACCAGCTGAGGAATAGGCTCGACTTTTGTGTCTGTCTCCAAATATAATCAAGAATTCCCCTTGCTGATGATTTTTGCTCAGTGTGCTTTTTCCCCTCCCCAGGCCTGAAGCTCCCACCCAAGAGAACGCAAGCCTTCCTAAACAGGTATGAAGAATAATATTGGTATGCACTCTCCTCCCCCTTCCCTAAAGAAAGTCACTGGGACAGCTTTTTTCAGGATGAGTTCCCTCGGGAGGGAAGAGAGCTGAAAACATTGGCGTGTTTGTGTAATGTCAATTTATTTGCAAACTGCAAGATGAGAAGGAGGGGGAAAGACCATGCTTATTTGAATAAGCATCAGAGTACCCAAAAGAAAACAGAAGGTCTTTGCTTCTCCCCAGGGTTTCTTGCCTGTGGGCTGCAAAAACGCCAAGCATCTCTCTCTCTCTCTCTCTCTCTCTCCCTCTCTCTCTCTCTCTCATGCATGGCTAAGTTCAAACTGACAGGCTGTGTCCTTGAGCAGGTGTGTGTGTGGGGGGGAGGGTTTCCTATGGCACCCACCCCAGGGCCTCTGAGCAGCCTCCAGCTCTCACAGACCCATAAGCAAGCTCCCTGAGTTACTGAATTATACACAAGGCCCATCGCATGTTTTCAAGAAGTAATGGAGGCTCCACAGACATGTTGGATAGCTCAGTTGGTTCGAGCATGGTGCTGATAATGCCAAGGTTGCAAGTTCAATCCCCGTACGGGACAGCTACATATTCCTGCACCACAAGGGGGTTGGACTGGATGACCCTCAGGGTCCCTTCCAACCAGTAGCGTAGCGTGGGTTGTCAGCACCCGGGGCAAGGCAAGTAATTTGCGCCCCCTAGCCCATGGATTTGCGCCCCTAACCCGTGGATTTGCGCCCTCTAACCCTAACCCCAGATGTTGCGCCCGGTGCAGCCGCCCCCCCTGCACCCCCCACGCTACGCCACTGCTTCCAACTATACAATTCTATGATTCTACATTGTTTGCTTGGGGGTGGGGAGAACTGATGCAACTTTATAAATGTCTCATTTGTTTAGATGTCTCTTCTCTACTGTAATTACAGTAGCAATTCTCTACAGCCTAGGACCCTTGTACCTACAGGACTGCCTCTCCTGGTATGCCCCGCAGAGGACCTTAAGGTCCATAAATAGCAACACCCTAGAGGTCCCGGGCCCTAAGGAAGTCAGATTAGCCTCAACCAGAGCCAGGGCCTTTTCAACACTGGCTCCAGCCTGGTGGAACACTCTGTCTCATGAGACCAGGGCCCTGCAGGATCTGATTTCTTTCTGCAGGGCCTGTAAGACAGAGTTGTTCTGCCTGGCCTTTGGCTTGGAATCAACTTGATCCCAATCCTCTCTTTCCTTTTTCCTTTCTCCTTCTGTGATGGAACTCCTATTTGGGGACTTCCCTGGCTTTTTTCTGGCCCACGTAGGACCAGTCTGGATAGCTAGCCTTGCTGAAGACTTGACGTTTTCATCCCCAAAATAGTTTTTGAGTTTCTGCTGAAATGAGGCTGCATTTTAATGTTGTATTTTAATCTTGTTTTAAGTTGTACAGTGGTACCTCGGGTTAAGTACTTAATTCGTTCCGGAGGTCTGTTCTTAACCTGAAACTGTTCTTAATCTGAAGCACCACTTTAGCTAATGGGGCCTCCTGCTGCTGCCGTGCTGCCGGAGCACGATTTCTGTTCTCATCCTGAAGCAAAGTTCTTAACCTGAAGCACTATTTCTGGGTTAGCGGAGTCTGTAACCTGAAGCGTATATAACCTGAAGCGTATGTAACCCGAGGTACCACTATATTTCAATCAATTGTTTTATATCTGGTGTTAGCTGCCCTGAGCCCGGTCTTGGCTGGGAAGGGTGGAGTATAAATAAAATTTATTATTATTATTATTATTATTATTATTATTATTCTCTCCCAGCTGGGCAGCGAGATCCATACCATTGGCTGTCTTCTGCAAGCTTCATTCACAAGTCCCTGGAGCAGCTCAGGGGTCACAACACAGGGGTCCAGCTCCCGGTAGCAACAGCTTCATATGAATGCAGCCATAGGTCTTCTTTAAAGCGCACCTTCACCATTGTGGCAGTCTTGGCTTCCCCCAAAGAATCCTTGGAACTGCAGTTTGTTACATATGGCTGCTGGGAATAGTAGTCTAACAACCCTTGGCACCTTAAAAAAATTACAGCTCCCAGAACTCTTTAGAGGAAGTGGTGAAAGGGTGCTTCAAAGGCATGCTGTGGATGTGACCTTAGCTGAACTGGAGCTGCGTGCTCAGGAATTCTGAAATCCTGCTGCAAGAAAAGCCTGAGCATATGCATATTCTTATTTCCTCTGATTTTAAATAACTTATTCTATCATGTTCCTATGGGGTACGATGCTGGTTCCGCTAGTTTTTAGGAGGGGCGAGGCACCTAAACTAAGGTTACCAGATTTTTTTCAATGAATTCGGGGACGCTTTTCAACTTCAATGGATTTTGTATGGGGACTGATTTGTAAATCTGGGGACTGTCCCCAGGAAACGGGGACTTCTGGTAACCTTAACCTAAACCAAATTCCTGGAGAGTTTATTCAGCTCCCAGTCTGGCTTTCAGGTCCTATCACTTTGAAACATCTATTTTTGGTTGGCTTGAGAATATGTTCTATTCCTCCCCCCCCCCATAATGAACATAATTAAAACTACATTAAACAACAACAACAAAAGCCATAGCTGTCAACTTTTCCCTTTTCTTGCGAGGAATCCTATTCGGAATAAGCGAATTTCACTTTAAAAAAGGGAAACGTTGACAGCTATGGCAACAGCTAGCCTCAGGGGGAGAAGCGTAACAACATCTTAAAATCAGAGCCTTTATTTTATGATGCACGTAAAGTCTTTAATGCAATAAATCTCTCCAGATGTTTCCATGGGTCTGGGGATGTTGTTTGGACTTGTCTTGCACAGGAGATGAATGGATGTCAGGTGTTGTAAAAGGATAAAGAACTTGTCTTGGCCTCCGACCTCGCTGATTTGGCAGGTCACGTTCTTGGCCAGAACAACAGACCACACCTGAGCATACCATGAATGACAGGCCTGTTGCAGAACATCCACATTTAGCAATTCCTAAACGATCTACAATCTTAAGGGCTAAAAAACCATCCTTTTTTTAAAAAGAAGAAGCCAGAACTTTTAGGAAGCCTCATCCAGGATTATATCCCGCTCTTGGAGAGCTTCAGCATATGTTGTCCTGCCTCAAATGTTCTGAAGAGAAGAAATCACACTTTTCTTTTCTTTTCATTTTTTATAATTTTTTATTAGTTTTTCAACATATCATTTTCAACAATAATTAAACATACTTTCATAGCTTATACAGTTTTTTGACTTCCATCAATCACATCTGAAAATTTTCCAATCTACGCACTTAATATACATTTCTTACTTCCACTATTACATTTAAATCTCATAACTAATATCTCTATTCTTTCTCTACTTTGCAATGTTTCATACATACAAAACTTCTTGTAGTCCTACTACAAGATTACTGTTGATTACAGTTGCTCTTTAAATAATTTGTATATTTCTTCCAATCTTCTGTGAATCTCTGGTCCCGCAGGTTTCGAATCCTTCCTGTCATTTTATCCAATTCTGCATAGTCCGTTAATTTTGTCTGCCATTCTTCTTTCATCAGAATTTCTTCTTGCTTCCATTTCTGGGCTAACAATACTCTTGCCGCTGTTGTTGCATATAAAAGCAATTTGACATCTTGCCTCTTAATATCCTCACCTATAATACCAAGTAAAAATGCTTCTGGTTTTTTAAAAAATGTATATTTCAACATCTTTTTCATCTCATTATATATCATTTCCCAAAAGTTTTTTTTTACTTTCTTACATTCCCACCACATATGATAAAATGTTCCTTCTTTTTCTCTTGTCTTTTCATCCAGGGTGTTGTCAATAAAGAGATTGTCTATGTAGACCTGAAGGATCCCAGTGGCCTGAGAAGACCTAAGCAAAGGAAGGCAGAGGAGCATTCAGAATACGCCAGTGTCCGGGTAGCTTAGCCTGTGGCTGCAAGAGGAACACTTTCCTGCCTGGAGTCAAAAACCACCGACCAGAGATGAAACTCCATCAAACAGACCCTACCATGCAAATTAAAGAAATTGGGTGTGCTGCATGGATTCTGGCTCAGAGAGGCGTGGCTCACCCTCCCTATTTGATCTGGCTGTTTTTGCAAGAAGTTTGAAAGGAAAGGCTGTTTCTTTTTTCCTTTGTGCAGGGAGACTAGTGCTTTGTGCAGGGAGCATCACTCTCTGGACATTGCACAGCTCATGGACACTGGAAATGGATTTATACTGAGTCAGTCCACAGGTCCAATGAGCCAGTGTGGTGTAGTGGTTCAGAGCGGTGGACTTGTAATCTGGTGAACCGGGTTCGCATCTCCGCTCCTCCACATGCAGCTGCTGGGTGACCTTGGGCCAGTCACACTTCTCTGAAGTCTCTCAGCCCCACTCACCTCACAGAGTGTTTGTTGTGGGGGAGGAAGGGAAAGGAGAATGTTAGCCGCTTTGAGACTCCTGAAGGGGAGTGAAAGGCGGGATATCAAATCCAAACTCTTCTTCTTCTCAGTAGCGTCCACACTGACTGACAGCAGCAGTTCTCCATGATTTCAGATGGAGCCAACTAGAGATGTGATGGGGAACTGAATCAGGGTCCTTCTCTACCACAAAGCTAAAATCCTTCCACCCTTAACTTTTAATGTTTAACGGACAACTGTATTTTAATACTTTGTTGGAAGCCACCCAGGGTGGCTGGGGAGACCCAGCCAGATGGGCGGAGTATAAATAATAAATTATTATTATTGTTGTTGTTGTTGTTTAGTCGTTTAGTTGTGTCCGACTCTTCGTGACCCCCTGGACCAGAGCATGCCAGGCACTCCTGTCTTCCACTGCCTCCCGCAGTTTGGTCAGACTCATGTTTGTAGCTTCGAGAACACTGTCCCACCATCTCGGTCCTCTGTCGTCCCCTTCTCCTTGTGCCCTCCATTTTTCCCAACATCAGGGTCTTTTCCAGGGAGTCTTCTCTTCTCATGAGGTGACGAAAGTCTTGGAGCCTCAGCTTCACGATCTGTCCTTCCAGTGAGCACTCAGGGCTGATTTCCTGCAGAATGGAGAGGTTTGATCTTCTTCCAGTCCATGGGACTCTCAAGAGTCTCCTCCAGCACCAGGATTCAAAAGCATCAATTCTTCGGCGATCAGCCTTCTTTATGGTCCAGCTCTCACTTCCATACATCACTACTGGTGTATGGTAGTGATGTAGTGATGATAATGATGATGATGATTAACAACAGAAAAAGAGAGCCCTGCAACTAAACCCCCTAGGCTTGGCCCATCCATTAATAGTTAACTAATTTGATTACCAGGCAAGCAAAGACACGGGTGTGCTGGGGGTTGTTTCCCTAGGAGGCTGATGGAGAGACACGTGTTTTCTGATGCGCGCAGGAAGACGCACCACTGCAGAGACCGAGGGGAGGCGGAGCAAAGGCGATTTCGAATTCTTTTCTCTTTTGCAGCCAAGCGCAACCCTCGCCCCGCGCAGGGAACCTGTCAGCGGCAACTGCAACCATCTAAACTACTCGCTCCGCTTCCCTTTAATACACTGACAAATGTTTCCTGCAGAACAGATTCCATTAAAATGTACCGACAACGCCGCCTCCAAGCCCGTTTTTGCTAACCAGCTGAGTGGCAGGACGGCAGCAAAAAAGGGAGCCGGGCGCGCTGGTCGGATTGAACTTGCGGCGCTGTTGCAAGAGATATTTAAATAAAATAATAACAACAATAATAAATCATTTTGTTAGGTGACACTTGCGATCCCAGGGCAGCTGCGGCTTCCTTGGCCTTTGAGCGACCTCTGCAGTTCAGAGCGCGCAATCTCCAGCTCCTCCGCCATCCTCCTGCCTGCGTTCAGGGGCGGTGGCTTCCTCGCATCTTAAGCTCCTTAAAACTGTCTCCAGAAGACACGCCCTTCCTTGCAAACTGCCTTTATCTCCCCCACCCCATCGCCCCCGGGAGCTTCTCCTCGCACCCCAAGCGGCACGGACCCCCCTCCGTTTGCAATCTGCTTGGCGTTCAGGGCAGCGGGTGGCGAAGGAGGGCTGCGCGCTTTTTACTTCGCGAAAGGGAGTTGGTGAGGATCGGGAAAGGCCATCTGCACCACCCAACGACCCCTGCCCAAAAGGCAGAGCCACACAGGGAGCTGCCTTCTACCAAGGCAGACCTTTGGTCCATCCAAACCATTATTGTCTGCACTGACTGGCAGCTGCTGTCCAGCATTTCAGGCACGGGTCTCGCCCAGCCCTACCTGGAGACGCCCAGCGCGCTAGACTCGGCAATTTGGGTTGGTGGCCATCACTGCCTCATGTGGAAGTGAGTTCCCCAGTTCAACTGTGCATTGCATGAATAAGGATTTTCTTCTCTGTCCTATACAATTCCTTCCAGTAGCACCTTAAAAGGTAAAGGTAAAGGGACCCCTGGCCATTAGGTCCAGGCAGTTCACAGAATAAAATCAAGATCTATTACCATAAAATACCTAGTAAAAATAAAAACAATAACCCTAGCCCCCCCCAAAAAACCCACATTTTAAAAGGGCGTGCAATCAGATCAGCCAAAGGCCTGGTGTACAATGAAGGCGCCAGGCAAATTTCCCTGGGGAGAGCATTCTGCAGACAGGGAGCCACCGCAGAGAAGGCCCCGCTCCTCTTGCAGAGGAGACACACAAAGAAGGGCCTCAGAAGATGTTCTCAGTGTCCGGGTAGGTTCATATGGAAAGAGGCATTATGAGAGAGGGAGAAAAGCTTTCCCCTGTCCTGTGGTGGCCATGTGGGATTGCTATGAGGAATTATGAAAAAATGAAGCAAGCCATTGTGTCAGTGATGAAAGCATTGCTTTGACTGGGCTGGAATCATTTGACATGATTTCTTATCAATCCCACAAGCCTCTGCATCTCTACCCCATTTTCTTTAGGCTTGACAAGTCACGTACACAGAGCAGTTGCTTCACCAGGCATCCTGGGTCATAAAGATAGGAGGTAGCTTTGATGTAGCTTTTGTTAATCTTTAGCAGGATCTTAGGGCCAGGAAAAGAGTTACACGGAGGTGGTAAATGCCTGTCTTTCTTTCCTATGGGTTTATGACCTCCGGGGGTACTAAATGCATTCCTCTTTAAGTATAGGTAAAGGCACCCCTGACCATCAGGTCCAGTTGTGGCTGACTCTGGGGTTGCAGTGCTCATCTCGCTTTATTGGCCGAGGGAGCCGGCGTACAGCTTCTGGGTCATGTGGCCAGCATGACTAAGCCACTTCTGGCAAACCACAGCAGTGCACGGAAACGCTGTTTACCTCCCCGCCAGAGCGGTACCTATTTATCTACTTGCACTTTGATGTGCTTTCGAACTGCTAGGTTGGCAGGAGCAGGGACCAAACAACGGGAGCTCCCACCGTCGCGGCGATTCGAACCGCCAACCTTCTGATTGGCAAGTCCTAGGCTCTGTGGTTTAACCCACAGCGCTACCCACGTCCCTTGCATTCCTCTTTGGTTCCTGTTTATTTAGCCTAAAACTTGTATGCATGCTCAAGTAGTTCTTTGTAGTTAAAAGCATTCCTCTGATCTGACTTTGTCCCACGTGGGAATTTTTTGAAATGCTCAGAGGAAATCTGATTGGTTCTTACAAACGCTGTGTTTAAAGTTCTTTTGTTAATAAAAGGGAGCTGGGCCAGGGTGTGGCAGATTATTATTTCGCACTTCCTCCCAGAGTCTTGCTGGCCAAGCTCATATCTATTTTATTAATCAGAGTCCAGTCCTTTCCTTTGCCTTCAGAACGCAACATTGTCCACTTTCTCCATGCAATGAATAGTTTTTAAAACTCCCATCTTTGCCGTCTCCTACTCGCCTTTTCTGTAAACCAAAAAGTCCAAAAAGCTGCATCCTTTCTCCGTGTATATATACGAGCGTTCCAGTGATTATTTGGGGCTTCAGGGCCTACTAACCTAAATTGGAGTCCGGGGATACACAAACTTGTGTTTTTTAGTGCTTCGAAATCTTGAGCAAAGAAGGAACTGGGAGCTCGCAAGCAACTTCAGCATCATGAGATGCCGGGGTCTGAAGCAGAGACTTTTCTCATGCAAATAAGATGCTGCACCGTTGAGCCCCAGCCCATGCAACATGCATGGCAGTACATTTTTGCAACAGCAGATCCGGGAACACGGGGGGGGGGGGAAGACCCGCTGAGCTCCACCGCCTATGTACTCCGAAAAACAACATGATATGCAACAAGAAAGGAGTCAGAACAGTGCAAGCAGAACCATTAGGCTGTTAATTTTAAAGATTTAAACCCTGCCTTTCAATCAAATGGTCCCTATGCTGCCTTGCTCCAGATTTTAAAAAGTCAATACAGGAATATCAAGATAACTTGTGTGTGTGTGTGTGTGTGTGTGTGTGGACACACCTGCTAGCCTCCAAATCTATGTTGATTATATAAAAATAATAGTTCTATACACTTAGTAGCCGGAATCCCTAAGCAGGTTACAGTAAAATATGAAAATCAGATTTTAAATGCATATATCACACAAGAGACAATATTATTTTTTGATTTTATTAATCTATGGATTGCTTTCCAGATGAGTCTCCAAGGTGACCAACAGCAAAAGAAATAAAAACAGCTTTAAAAGCACTACAGAATATGACAACCACAGATCGGTGTTTATTCTGCCTTGGGTTTTTTTGTTTTTGTTTTAAAAAGCCTAAGGCAGATACTAAAAGCCTTGTGCAGCAAGCTTCTGGTATTTTTGAGAATTTAATGCTCCTGAAGAAGGCAGTGACCTGCTGTGTGTATAAACGATACTTATCGTTATTATAATTAATTAAATTTGTCTACCGCCTTATACCCGCAGGTCTCAGGGTGGTTCACAACATAAAATCACAATGTAAAATCACAAAATACGTAGTACCCAATAAATCCCCATCTCCCCATCTCCCCGACACATTTTAAAAGGGCATTGGATGTCAATCACCCAAAGACCTGGTTAGTAAAGAGTCATTGCCGACTCTAGGGTTGCGGGGCTCATCTCACTTTATTGGCTGAGGAAGCTGGCGTACAGCTTCCGGGTCATGTGGCCAGCATGACCAAGCCGCTTCTGGCAAACCAGAGCAGCGCACAGAAACGCCATTTACCTCCCCGCCAGAGTGGTACCTATTTATCTACTTGCACTTTGACCTGCTTTCAAACTGCTAGGTTGGCAGGAGCAGGGACCGAGCAACGGGAGCTCACCCCACTGCGGGGATTCGAACTGACGACCTTCTGATCGGCAAGTCCTAGGCTCTGTGGTTGAACCCACAGCGCCACCCGTGTCCCAAGACCTGGTTAAAGGGGAACATTTTTGCCTG